CGCGGCGCCGGGGGGGCCGCCCCGGCAGGCGGCCGGCTACTGGGGCTCCTACGGCAAGTGCGACCTGCCCCTGCACACGCTGGAGTCGCTGCTGGCCCAGCTGGGCCCCGCCGGCCCCTTCGAGCTGGCCTACTGGACCGGCGACATCCCGGCCCACGACGTGTGGGAGCAGAGCCGGGCCGACCAGCTGCGGGCGCTGCGCACCGTCACCACGCTGTTGCGCAAGCACTTGGGGACGCTGCCCGTCTACCCGGCCGTGGGCAACCATGAGGCCGTGCCGGTCAACGGTTTCCCCCCGCCCTACGTGCACGGCAACCGCTCGTCTGCCTGGCTCTACGACGCCATGGCCGAAGCCTGGCAGGGCTGGCTGCCCCCCGCCGCACTGGAGACACTCAGGTAGGGCACAAGGGTCTGCGCTCAACTGGGGGGGCGTGTGTCCCCGCTGCCTGCGCTCACGCCACCCCTTTCCCCCTGCAGAGTCGCCGGCTTCTACACACTGCAGATCCGGCCCGGCCTGCGCCTCGTCTCCCTCAACATGAACTTCTGCTCCGATGCCAACTTCTGGCTTCTCATCAATTCCACGGACCCGGCCGGGCAGCTCCAGTGGCTCGTGGGCGTCCTGGCAGGAGCGGAGGCGGCCGGCGAGAAGGTGAGCGGGGGTCCCGGGTGGGGCCGGCCACGACTGTCCCTGTCCAGGGCTTGCCCAGCTGAGCTGGGTAAAGCCCCCCGGGTGCATTGGGGTGGGCCCGTGGCAGGCAGGAGAGGGGGGATGACAAGCTGCACCCGTGCCCTCACACGCTCGCGTCCTGCCCCCGCAGGTGCACATCATCGGGCACATCCCACCCGCCCACTGCATGCGGAGCTGGAGCTGGAATTACTACAGCATCGTCAACAGGTGAGCGCCCAGACGCCAAGGTGCGGGCGGCCAGCTCCTGCCAGGATGCAGACAGGTCTGGGTGGGGTGCCCCAGGCACTGCCCTGCCCTGTGCCACCCCACGCAGGCACCCGAAACTGCAGGAGTTGGGGGAGGCAGCAGCATGAGCTTGCAGCAGGAGCTGGGAGGGATACAGCCCATGTGGAGGAGGACAAGGAGCAAAGGACAGTGCCCCCCCGACCCGCCCCTCAGCACATCCAGGCCCCGTGCAGCCCAGCCCCGGCTCCAGGCAGGATTGTCCCATCCCATCCTCATCCAACCTGGTCCTGACATGTCCCCGCGTCCCCGTGCAGACTCAGCCCGTTCCCAGAGGCTTCACGACCCAGCCCTGCCTCCGCGATGCAGGGATGGGGGCATCCTTGCCCTGCTGCTGCCAGGCAGGTCCGTGCACCCAGGAGACGTCAGGCAGCGGCCGTGCCCTCCATGTGGGGGAAGGGGAGACCCCCCAGTCTGTGCTCCTGGGACCAATCTTGCAGGGTCCTGGCTGGAGTCAGCGCAGCCCAGTCCCCGTTCCCAGCCTGAGCCGCAGCCAGCGCCTAGCGCCTCAGGGCAACTTAAAAATCCCTGACACGTGTAGCAACAGGAAAGGAAAACTAATTTCCTCCCGGGCTCCTGCGGCAATGGCAACGCCCAGAGTCCCGGGACATCCCCATGACCCAGCACAGGCATCGCTGCGCCTAGATCGTCCCTGCCCAGCCTCTGCTTGAACGCTCCAGGGACCGATCGCGTCCCCTCCCCGGCGTCCATCCCACGGCCTCCCTGCTCCGACGAGGGCAGGGAAGCGCTGCCTGAGACCGAGCTAAACCGGCCTGGCTGCAGCGTCAAGCCACTTGCTCTGCCCTGCCCGGGGTGGCTGCTCCCTGCAGCAAGAGGAAAGCTTGTGTTCTCCAGCACTGGCCTCTCCCTGTCCCCCTGCAGTTGGCCCGTGCCAGGGGTACCGGGTCCAGGGGCTGCCTGGCCAGAGCCAGGCGTGTGCCCCCCGCTGGGCTCCCCCGCATGGGGGGCTCCAGTGCAACCACGCCAGCAGCCTGGGGGGGCTGGCCCAGCCCAGCCGGTTCTCTGGGGCCATAAGGAGGTCCCAGTGCCCACGGGCCTGGCCCTGACCACCCCCCTGCACTGCTGCAGGTTTGAGAGCACCATCGTGGCCCAGTTCTTCGGCCACACGCACGTGGACGAGTTTGAGATGTTCTACGACGAGGAGACCCTGTCGCGTCCTGTCTCCGTGGCCTTCGTGGCCCCAAGCGTGACCACCTACATCAACCTCAACCCTGGTGAGCGCCCCAGGCGGGGCTGTGCACCCCGGGGAGGGGGCGGGGGATGCAGCCTGTGCCTCGGGGCCTGCTGGGAGCCACAGCCGCGGCACTGACCCGCCCTGGCCCGTAGG